GAATGAGGCTTTAGAGGCAGAACTGGCTGGGCCACCTGCCCTCGCCACCAGGCAGGCCACACCCACCAGCTGGCTGCACTACCCCCCACCCACGTGCTATGCCTGAATCACCTCCACGCCCACATGACAGCCTCACCCTGACCCAGGAGAAGGTGAGGAGGCAGCAAGTGTCAAGGCCAATGTTCTGGTCTCAACTCTTTCCTCTCTTGTGCTGGATGATTCACATCATGAGCCTCAGTTTCTCCAACTGAGAAATGGGAATCAATGCTTACTTTCCAAGGATGCTGTGAAGAGTCAGAGGTTCTGCTGGTGGGAGGGCTTAATGAAAAGTCAATTCTCTATCCTGACCCCTGGGAGGCAAGGTCACTGCTGAGGCTTGACTGGGTGACCTCAGGGGGACCAGCCTTAAGACTTGGTAGCAGTCCCACAGAGCCTGGGATTAGGTTCTCTCAGAGACAGAAGAAGTCCCCAGTCAATGCTCCCACTAAAAATGATGTACCACAGACGTTGGTGTCAGATAGCCCCACCCATTTCTGACGACATGACTCGGGCCAAGTCATTCTCCCCAGCCTCAGTTTCCTCATCTGTGAAATGGGCATCGTAAACCCCCTTCTCAAGTTACTGAATTGCTGTGAGGATTAAATGGGAGAACACACAGAACGAGGCCCAGAGAACAGAAAGTACTCGATAAATGGAGACAGCTATTAGCTATTATTGTTTTTGCCATGCTGATTCATTCTCCCAGCAACTGCCCTGGATATTTGCATCAGGGAAGACTCTGTGCCCTCCCTATGCTCAGGCCACAGCTGTGAAGGGGCGGAGCCAGGCTGGTGTGACCCTGCCTGTCTCCACATCACCCAGGAATTACACACCTGCTCCCGTAGGCAAGATGGAAATGGGATGGAGCAGGAAGTTTCTGAAGACCGGGATGGCGCCAGTGACTGATGCAGCAGGGACTTCCTTGACTGCCATGGGGCATGCCCCTTGATTCCTCATCACCCCAGCCTACCAGGCCTGGGGAGAGGCAGGAGGAGGGTCAAGCTTCTGACCATGGGATAGCAGGCCCTGGGTCCAGGAAGGAGCAGAAAACCTGGCTTGGGAGCCAGGAGGCCTCAGGTGTGGCTGATGTAGGAGGTTTTTCTCACTATTTAAGTCAAGGGGGTCCTGAAGCTCCCATGCACAGAATTCAAAATCTCCTCACTGCCCGGAATTCCACATTAAAGCCCATTCAGGGATCAAGCATAGTTCTCCAGGTCTTACACAGTTAATTGCCCCTCCTGACTGAGTCCCTCACCCCTCCTGGCTTGCTTCTGACTGCCCGAGAGCCCTGGGGGTGAGGCTGCTGCCAAATTCCAGTGTTGATGCTTTGCCAGGTGTCAGCACATTTTTCAAAGGCCAGGCTGGAGCTGGTTCAAAAGGCCTCCCCATCTCCTTCCCAAAAGGGAACCCCCTCTGCTGTGGAAGGGAGCGTGGGCCACATCACCAGACAGACTCAGAGCCATGTCCCCCACTCCCACCTTACACACATGGAAACACAGCTCCAGCCCACTTAGTCCAGCACAAGGTGGCAGCCCAGGGTGACAGACAAGGCAGGGAAGCCAGGGACCAGTGTGGGATTCAGAAATGGAGATGGGTAGTTTCCTCCTCCAGGAATATGAAACCCTAACCCCACCTGGCAGGTTGTAAGGACAAAAAGGACTCAGGCCACCAAGGAGGGAGGGAGTGCATCTAATGGGGAGGTGGGAGGTGGGCATTTGGGTTGGACTTGAAAGGAAGAAGGACAGTCTCCACAGGAGAGGGACTCTCCCTGAGAGACCCGAGACATTCAAGGAGTGGTGAAGAGTTTGGGTGGCATTGAAATGCAGCTGGGTATCAGATATGCTCTGCTGAGTCCAGCTGCAGCCCACTGAATGACCCCAGGCCACTGAGTCATCCCGGACCCCTGTCACAAACTGCTGTGCAGGCCTAGTCTCACAGGCAAGGAGCACAGGGCCCTGCTGAGGACGCTATTGTCATGTGGTCAGGCAGGAAGGGAAGTGACCGGCTGTGCTGAGCCAGCATCTCATATCAAAGCCAGTGCCAGCTGCTGCATCCAGTTGGGACCTGTGTTTGGGCCCCACACAGCACAGCAGCAGGAACGTGGAGCCAGGAATCCTGCCTCTTTCTTCCAAGCCTGGTCCCCTGCAGAACTGCGGAACTGAGCTTTGCCCACTGCGCCTCCATCGCCAACATGCACATGCCCCTGAGCAATTACTCACAGCTGCCCCAATGCCTGGGAGCCTGGGAGGGTTAACAACCTGCCCCCACAATGGAGCTCCTTGCTCCTTGGTGTTCCCGGGTGCAGCCACGACCCCTGCTGTGCGCTCCCTGCACCAGTGACCTCAGCTCCCTCTCTGCCAGTGAATTTTCAGGCAGAGCCTAAAGAGGTGCGGTTCCAGGAGGGACCCTTCGAACCCGCTGTGCCTGTGGAACAAAACAACAGAAAGCATGGGGCCAGCGGCCCAGTGTGGGATGTAGGCTGTAAGGGGAAAGGGTGGTCTCTGCATATTCCCAACCCAGTCCCGCTCCCCGAAGCCCCTAGATTTGGCCAGTATACTCCCTATATGCCCCCCAACTCTCCAAGCTGAGATCAAAGTAGAAGCCTCAGACAGCAGTCTCTGTCTGCACCACGTCTGTCTGCTGTGAAATGTAAAATGCCCCACAGCAGATGACACACCAGATGCCCCTTCGCCTTCCTGTCCAGACCTCCCAAGCCTTGCAAATATCAGGGCCCAGGCAGGTCCACAAGATTCCCCCAAGAGAGAGAAATGAGACAAGAGGTCTCTGTGGGGTGGTTGCATCCAGGTAGGGGCCGACCCCTTGACCCACTCTAGTAACACCCCACTTGGTGCTGTGAGGAAGGCAGGGCTAGGCAGAGCTCCATCAACAGCCTTGGGCCCACTCAACTGTAGTGAGGAGAGGGCCACTGCATCCTGGCAGCCACAGTTGTCCTCGGGCAGGGAGAGCTGGGCAGTCTCCCTGTTGGGGATTCTGGGTTGTAGCTCATCCTGCCTCCAGGTGATGGAAGGAGGCACATGGGGATGGAGAGATAAAGAGACAGCAACAGGAACAAACACAACAAAAACATACTCATGGATACAATGAGCAGACTGGTGGTTGCCAGAGGGGAGGGCGGCTGGAGGACTGGGCGAGAAAGGTCAGAGACTTTCTTGTGGGGTTACCGAACACTTGTGGGGACGTAAAGTACAGCACAGGAAATATATTCAGTAATATTGTAATAAGTGTGTATGTGGTGCCGCATGGGTACTAGAAATATTGGGGGGGACACTTCGTAATGTGTATGACTGTTTAACCACTATGCCACGTGCCTGAAACTAACATAAAACAATGTTAATGCCATCTGCAACTGAAAAACATTTTTAATTAAATTAAAGCTTTTAAAAGAGACAGCAACAGATTAAATACATAAGTAAACCCAGCTAGTGGCAGGCGTGACCCCTTAAACAGCCTGGGTTCACACAAAACGCTGTGAGCCTCCATTTCACAGAACAACACCCGCAAGAGTCCTCCCAGCTCTAAGTCAGTTCGGAAGTTGATTCGATTTGCAGAAACTCGTAGCTGTCTCACATCGACACGACATTTTCTGAGGAAGGCCCACCGGTAAAGAAAGGGGTCCCAGGCCCAAAACAGGACTCGAGAAGCCCTCGAGTCTCCCTCTGACCCGGGGATGGGCTGGCTCACCCAGCCCCTGCTCTGCCAGCCGCCCAGCTCTGCGGTTCAGTTCCGAGCTCTGGAGTCAAGCTGCCTGGGCTCAGGGCCGGGCAATGCTGTTTACAGTTCGTGTAACCTTGCTAACTGTCCCGGCTTCGTTTTTCTCTTCTATAAAATGGAGCTAATGATAGCTCTCTGCAGGCTGTTAGGAGGTTTGAAGGGTAATGCCCATCAAGCACTTTGTATAAATGCTCAATGCGTTCTGGCCAACAGGGTTCCTCCTCTATGCCCATTTGCCACGGCAGGGCCACAGCTCACTTCACCCCTCGTCAGCCAGCCCTCATGCTCCTCAGTCAGGCCTTAGGTGTGGAGGCGGATATGATGCTGCAGGCCGTGGAGGAAGGGGTCCCAGTGTTTCCTCGATACCCCTCTCGAGGTGGGGCTGAAACCCCAGCCTCTGCTCATGTCAGCCCTCTTTCCATGAACCAGCATCTAACAATTCCACGATGGGGCAGCTTATTCCATACTCCATAGACATTAGCGCAACCCCGCCAACATTGGGACAGCTCTTCTAGAACACTGTTTGTTGAGTTCTCTATAATAAAGCAGAAGTCAGCAAGCTTTTATGCAAAGGGCCAGAGAATAAATACTTTAGGCATTGCAGGCTATTCTGTCTCTGTTGCAGCTGCTCATAACTGCCCCGTAGCATGAAAGCGGCCACACGCAGTTCAGAATCGAGTGGCCATGCCGTGTCCCAGTAAAAGTTTGTTTACACAAACAGGCAGCAGGCCAGATTTGGCCCACGGCCCATAGTTTGCTGCATATGGTAGGTGTGTACATGAAGGTGTGCCACGCCCGTGGATAACAAGGAAAAGGTGACCAAGGCTACTAGCCTTAGGGGGTGGTACACACACACAGAGAACACACATGCATGTACACACAGACCACACAGAGCTGATTAGCTGTGCCAGCCCAATGAGTGGCTTGAAGTTCACACTTGACACAATACATACACACATATGTTTGTTTATTTGACAGATGACAGGACAGATGGCGGTGGAAGCATGTGCCATGGCAGGGGGCAGGACAGTGACTGCTACAAATGGAAGATCATTAAAAAATCCTGCCATACCTTTGGGGTGGGGTTCTTTACTTTTGTTTAAACAGCTAATACTTTAGGAAGTGTGATAGGTCATGGAAGGACAAAGTCGCTGTGCAAAAAAACGATTCTGGCAGAGGTGGGAATGGGGCCAGCCTCCCCACTTTCTGTGAGGAGTACCCGGTATCATCCCCAGACCACTCAGGACAGGGGAGAGAGTAAGCACAATACAGAGTGGCCTCTCAAGCGCTTTGTTCTAAAAGGTGTTTTCCTGGGCTTCATTCACTTTTCCTCCCAGCAATATAAAATAAGATAAGATGAAGATAAGATAAGATAAAACAGGGGCATCATATATGTCCAAGAGATTTATCATTCTTGATGTTTAATAAAGTCAGTAAAACCTCAAAAGCAAGATCCTTTCCTGTTAGGAGATGCACTTGGGGACAGTGAGGTTGGATGACTATCACTTCCCATGCCCCCAGCACCACTCCTCCCCATGTGTCTGGGCAGGTGCAGGCCGGGCCAGGCTTCTGGGACAGCACAGGTGTTCCCCACACAGACCCCAGCCAGTGTGCTAGCCTAAGGCCCACAGTGTTGAAAGCACCCCGTGGGGGTCCCTCACTTTTCCCCTAAAGCAGCAGGATCCTTGAAGACCTCAGCGTCTTCTGGCTTGAGGGACCCTGAGAAGTGCTTCAGACGAACCTCCTCAGGCTGAGCAGGTTGCCTTTCTCGAGTGCTTGCATCTCTTAAAAGGGGAACCAGGGCAAAGTTCTTCCAGTTTCTCCCTGCAACTAAACAGTAAAACATCATTACTGACTTGGGTGCAGTAAAACAATAATAAATATGTATCAGCAGATCTTACCAATCTGCAGATGGAAGGGGGTCCAGGCGTGTGAGTGCTTCCTGAGACACCCGGACCGCTGTTGTTTCCTCTTCCCTCAGCTGCTCTGGGAGCCTCATCCTCTCTGGCAGCTCCTCACATTCTCTTCCTCCGCTTCCCCCCTGGTTTGCTTATAGCTTCATAAGAGCCTATGGCTTGCCTCTCTCCTCCGTTTCCTCCCTGCCCATGTGGGAGGGAGAGTGGGCCTGCCCCCAACCTGCTCCACACTGAGGTCATATGTAAGGTGATAAACACAAGCTAAAGAGTCAGGATTTGGGGTTCAGACCCCACCTGGGCACAGCGGATTGGGAACAATGCCAAGGGAATCACAGTGACACTGGGCTTTGGACAGGGACCTTACATGGGGCCTGTAGCTCCAGCCCTGGCCACCTCAGAAAAATAACAGGCAGGAAGTGACAGGAGAGCTGTGTGTGCTCTCCTTCCATTGGCTAGAGCCCTGGTCAGCCAAGCCCTCTGGTTGGCCACACCTCATACCCCTAGGCCACAACTCAGGCCCTTCTGCTAGTATCCAACAGCAGCCACATCTCAAAGGCATCAGGAATGCTGGGAGCTGGGCCCAATATGGCTACTCCAGCTTAACACTTCAGGTCCTGGTGTTTCCCACAGGCCCACAGGCCGTCATTGGCCTGTCCCCCAACCCCTGTCTAACACTAAGTATCAAGTGCTGAAAGATGATCTCTCAGGGAACTCAGGGATAGAAGCAGGAGGGCACCATCTTCTGGCTGACTGGGTGGTGGGGAGACCCAGCCTTAGGGACTGCTTAGCCCAGCTCCAGGGCCCTCAAATCAGGTTTGGGCTTTCCAGTGTCCACTTCCCATAGTTCTGAGGCCAAGACCCCCTCATGTGCTCTCCCTACCTCAGTTACTGACCACTTTTCTCCCCTGGTCTTTCTCTCCTGCATTCCCTCCCTCCTTCGCAATCATAGGCACCATGGGTTATCTGGACTATCTGGCTACTCATACTGGAGTGTCACTGTCACAGGTTGTATAGGAAAGTAAAACCCTCAGGAAACATTTGCTAGGTAAGCAAAGTATGAAATCAGGGAACCTCTCACCATCCCCTACCACCACCCCAGTTAACACGAATGTGTGTGTCCCTGCCACCAGGTCAACGTCTTTGTTAATATCACAGCGAATGGGCAGTGTGTCGACAGCCAACAATGTGACGCTAACAATGCAAATCAACTGCAAAGTGAAATGGCAAATCTTGTAAAAGGTGTCATATTTCATGAAATCAATAAAAGTGATGTTGGAAAAGTGTTCAAATTGCATGCAAAGCCATCTTCAAATGCCTCTGTGACAAATAGACCCGTTAACGACTGACGAAGAGGTCATCAGTAGGGATTATGGAATGACACGGGGAGCGCTCCCAATGAGACTCATGGAGAAATTACAGGATGGCAGAAGGCCCTTGGGAAAACTGATGAAGGCCTTGAGTAGTTTCCCAAAAATAAGTCTCTTGATAAAAACAGATTTCCACTCCCAGCTCTAATCGAGTATCTAGTACTGGGCCATCTGCTGTAAACAACCATAGAACTGGACAAAATACCTGCAGCAAATACATGCCTTATATTTTCAGTCATAGGACAGCAGGTGATAAAAAAACTGCAGTTTCTGAGAGAAAGGAAGTTCACAAGGCGAGCCCCATGATTGCCCTGATGTTTTGTTTAGGGACAAGTTCTCTAACTATGGTGCAGTGGTCCAAGCAGAATGTGTCAGTGCCTCTGAGCTGAAGCAGCTAGCATCTGTGGGACAGGGCACAGGAAAAGAGGAGGAAAGGAACTTGGACATGGAGGTCCATAAGTCCCTGGCTGAGAGCTGGGCTCTGTTGCACAGGGTGAGACAGCATTAGTCCCAACAGAGAGTGCTGCCATGAGGTTGCAAATGGGACAGAGATGCTAGAAGCTCAGCAGCACTAAGGGACATTGGAGGTGCAGGCCAGCCAGAGTGGAGAGACCTCCTCAACACCCTTTCTCCACGTTAAGCTAAAATACCAGAAATGCCCCATGCACTCTATATAACCTAGAGTAAGCGCTACTCAAGACTCACCCAACACAGCCTAAAACCAAATCCTGATAAGCTCCTCACTGGAAAATTTGGAGGCTGAGTCCCAAAAGTTTTATGGGATTAGCAAATATCTTGGAGTGTCCACAGATCTACCATAATAAAGCTTAAAACTAACCCTAAGCAAATTCAAAGTGATTCATCAATAATTGAACTGCCAACTAGAACAAAAATCCAACCATGAGTCTTTACAGCATATAATTCACGATACCCAGCATACAATGAATAGTTACTAAATATGAAAAGAAACAGGGAAGTGTGATTCACAGTCGGGGCAAAAAAAGCAATCAATACAAACTGACCTCAAGATGGCCCCAATGTTGAATTTACCAGAATGAGAATTTAAAGGAGCTGTGACTAGGTGGAGCAAGAGTAGGTTTACAGTTGTTCATATGGAAAATAGTACAATGATTAATAATATAAGAATAAACTCTGTGTTTCACATACTCACAACAGTAAACCTACTTTTTCCCTAGTCTGTATAAATATGTTAAAAGAACCAAAGGAAAATACACTTTAATGAGGGAACAGATAAGGAATCCCAGGAGACAAATGGAAGCTATTAAAAAAGAACCAAATAGAAATCTTAAAACCAAATAGCACAATATTTGGAATGCAATAGTCACTGAATGGGCTTAGTAGCAGTTTGAAGATGGCTGAGAAAAGGGTCAGTGAACATGAAGGCAGATCAATGTACATCATCATGTTTGAGAAACAAAAAAAATCTGAGAAAAAGTGAACAAAACCTAAAACACCTATGGGACAATATCAAAGGTCTAACATACATGTAATTAGAGTCCCAAAAGGAGAAGATGGTGAGAATAAAGAAGAATAAAGCAAAATGCATATAGTTACTTCCCCATTATCATGAAACATGTCGATGTACAGATCCGAGAATCTCAGCAAACCCCAAGAAAAATAAGACCAAAGAGAGCCATACCTAAGCACATCTTAGTCAAACTGCTGAAAAACAAAAATAAAAAGTATTTTAAAAACAGCCAGAGGAAAAAAGACACATTACAGATAGGAGAATAACATTGCAAATAATGGGCAACTTTTCATCAGAAACAATGGAGGCCAGAAGACAGAAGAGAAACATAGTTAAAGTATTCTAATTTTAAAAAGAAAAAAATCTGTTAACCTAGAATTCTATATCCAGTGAAAATATCCTTCAAACATAAAGATGAACTTGACATTTTCAAGTAAACCAAATCTGATGAAAAACTAATCTATACAGTAAGTTCTCACTTAACATGATTGTCAATAGGTTCTGTGGCTTGAAGTAAGACAACGTGCAATGAAACCAATTTTGCAAGGTTAACTGATATAAACAAGACTAAGTCCCTATGGCATTGGGTTTGGCAATTGTTGCCTGGACATGAGATCAAATAACAGGCAACAAAAGAAATAGATAAGTTGGGCTTTGTTAATATTTAAAACTTTTGGGCCCTGTCTGGTATAGTTCAGTGAATTGAGTGCCAGCCTGTGAACCAAGGGGTTGCTGGTTCAATTCCTAGTCAGAGCACATGCCCGGGCTACAGGCCAGGTCCCCAGCAGGGGGCACACAGGAGGTGACCATACACTGATGTTTCTCTCCCTCTCTTTCTACCTCCTGTCCCCTCTCTCTAAAAATAAATAAATAAAAATCTTTTTTTTTATTTAAAACTTTTGTGCATCAAAGGACTCCACTGAGAGAGCAAAAAGACAACACACAGGAGAAAATATTTGCAAATCATATATCTGATAAAGTGTTAATATCTTGAATAGGTAAAAAATTTCTATAACTCAACAACAACAGAACAAATTTTAAAATGAGCAAAGGGCTTGAATAGACATTTCTCAAAAAATATGTATAAATGGAAAATTAGAACATGAAAAGATGTTCCAATTCATTAGTCACTAGGGAAATGCACATCAAAACTGCAATGAGATACTGTCTCACATCCATTAGGATGGCTATAATTTAAAAAAGAAGAAACTAACAAATGTTAGTGAGGGTATGGAATCCTCGTGCATTGCTGGTGGAAATGTAAAATGGTATGGCTGCTTTGGAAAATAGTTTGGCAGTTCCTAAAAAAGGTAATCATAGAATTATCATATAATCAGCAATTCCACCCCTACCCAAAAGAATTGAAAGCAGGGATTCAAACAAAACTTACACACCAATATTCATAGCATTATTCACAATAGCCAAAAAGGTAGGCACAATTCTAATGTCAACCAACAGATGAATAGATAAATATAATACACTATACCATATACGCACAATGGAGTATTATTCAGCCAGGCACAACTTGACATATATTGAATAATTCCACTTATATGAAGTACTTAGAATAGGCAAATTCACCGAGAGAGAAAGTAGAAAAGAGGTTGCCAAGGAGGAAGGTGGGGCATTATGATATATGGATATCCCACATATCTATATCATTCATATATATATATATCCCACAATTTTCAAAAACTAAAAGCAAAGAATTAGGGAGGGGTTGTAATTATAACTAAAAATGTATCCAATATAAAGTAAGTTAGCTCCCTTTTTAAGTAAGTATCTTTAGTCAGACCATTAAATTAAGATTTAATGTCTGCTGTTAAATGTTTACCATTAACTGTTAAAGGACTTTTTTCTGGTAGTGATTTTCTGCAGGGCTTTTCTGCTCAAGGTGTACCCTTTACTCTTCCCATTTTCTTCCTTCCTATGTCTGCCACACAACATGAGTGTGCATGTAGCCCTGTGTGTGTACATAAGAATCACAGAGCTGAGTGCACACAGGGGTGAGGCATGGGGCAGAGGAGACAGGGAAGTCCACAACGAGGTCAGCAGTCCAGGTGGCTGGATGTGGGCCTGAGCTTCTTCCTCTGGGGCACTGAACAGGTGCCTGGGCCAAGGGTGCTAGCAGAGCCACATGCATGGGCAATGTGGAGCAGCAGCTGTGCAGGTGTGCATGAGAGCACAAAGAAGTGCCCATGATGAGTGTATGAGGGAGGATGACTCTTGGGGCCATTCCAGTGCCCAGGCCATGGGGTGAGGAAGGCCTACAAGAAGCGGGGGCAGCCAAGGTTTCACCTGGCCAACATGCTGCAGCAGCCCTCCCCTTATACCTCACCTCTGCTTGACCGCAGAGAGAAACTCAGAGTTCGCTTGATGCCTTCACAATTGCCTGGGTCTTCATTGATGATGCCCACGTTGGTGTTCCAGGTGGTCCAGTTCACCTCATCCACCCTGCAGGGCAAGGAGACAGGGGTCAGGGAGCAGGTGGCCTAAGAGCCATGCCCAGCTTTCCAGGTCAAGGGCTTGGCCCCACAGGCCAAACCCAAGAAGCCCATAGATCAGGATGGGGAGCCTTAGTTATGACCCTGATTACCAGGTGACTCCTGGATACCTCATTTTCTTGCATTTAATGTCTGGGTCTCACCAGCTGAGATCTAAGGTGGGCCTACTATGGCCACAGCTGAGCACTGTACCTACAGCTGGCATGGGGAGAGTCCCCTATGTCCATGGCTGGCCCCAAAAGGCCCTGAGACAGGCTCTGTACCCACAGCTGGCTACAGGTGGGACCCCATGCCCACACTAAGCCCTGCAATGGCACCTGTACCCATAGCTGGCTCTAGGTGAGTCCCTATAGGTGAGCCCTGAGGCAGGCCTCTATATCCACTGGTGGCTCTGAGTGGGTCCCCAATATCCACAGCTGCTCTGAGTTCCCCAGGCTTTGAGTCCTGCTTGGGCATTACCTGAAACACCACCTGTAGTCATCCTTGCCATCGGGTGTATACCCCACCTGCAACAGCTTGCCTGAGCGGAAGGCCTTCCTCATACACTTCAGGAAGCTTTTCTCTGTGTCCAGGATGGTGATAGCTCTCTGCAGAAAGACACAAAGGGCAGAGGGACATGAAACTCATTCAAGGGTCATGCTGGCTGCCAGTGCCGGCTGCCAAGGTCAGCCTCCCCAGGGTCTCTCCCAGGCCCAGCTGCTCAGAGCAGCACCTGAAGTGCCCATGACGCCAGCTTGTCTTCGAAGCCTTGTGGTCACCACTGCACAGAAGGAGCTCAGCCTGCCTGGCCCCAGACCTGCCCAAGCACTGCCAGTGAGTGGTGAGCCCCATGAGTGGTGTGGAGTGCACCAGCCCCAGACCCTTCCCTGGGGAGCTGATGAAGAGGCAACTTAGTAGTGGTTAAGAGCAGAGCCTTGGGTGTGAGAATGCCTGGGCTGACCTCTGGATAGGCTACTTACTAGTTACATGGACACAAATACCTAATGTCTCTGTGCCTCAGCTGCCTTCATCCAAAAAATGGGGATAGTAATAATACCCACTTCATAACATCCTTGTGAGGATTAAATGAGAGCACGTAAGTAAGTACCTGGAACAGAGTCAGTTATGCTTAATAAGAATGTTACTTTTATTATTAGTGGGGAAAGCAAATGTGGAGCAAAAGTCTCAAAAAAGTAGCTGTCAGGGCCTGCCCATATTAGCTGTTCCTCTGGTACCCAGCCTAGACCCGGTTCCCCTGAGATGAGAACTGCATGATTGGGGCTGAGCCCTCTGTCCCCTTCCCTTAGGAGCCACCCAGACCACAGTGAACACTGTGTTTATGAACACAAACTAATGACACTGGACAGGGAAACCCCGTGGGAAGAGCCAGAAGGGGGTTGACTGAGAGAGATGCTGTTGCTTGATCCCTGGGACCTGACTGAGCTTTCTGCCCCTCCTCAAACCCTGCAGGGGCCCGGAAGCCCAGCTGTGTTAAGCAGCAGACGGTAGCTGATACCCTCCTGCTGCACACAACCCACCAACCGACCCACCTGCAGCTTCCATATGTTCTTGCTCTCCTGTGCAATCTTGTTGACAGTCTCACCCATTAGGGCGATGAGCATGTTGAGCAAGAGGATGTAGGTGAGAATCACGTAGGCCAGCAACAGGATGATGAAGACAGCCTTGAAGTCATAGTTCTCAGTGAACTCTAAGTCACCCATACCAATGGTGAACTTGAACAGCTCCAGACATGTGGAGTACAGGCTGTTGTAGGAGCTGTCAGGTGACCGGTAACAAGGCCCCCGCCACCTGTGTGGTGTGGTTTCAGTTGACACAGAGTCATTCTTTCCATCCTCAATCAGTGTTACCACCGCTATAAGACATGGGGAGGGAAAGGTGCAGCTGAATGGAAGCCAAGACCCCAGGTGCCCTGACATACTAACCCACTACCCCAGGATGGGTCTGCATCAGGAACACTATTTGGCTATGCAGCACTTTTGTGTAAAGGCACCTCCTTCTCCAAAACTATCAGATATTGTCATAATATACCATTTTGTTAGATAAGAACTTCATCAGCTGCTCTGAAGAACTGTTAAAATAAATATACAAACATATATGTACAATGTAAATATAGTCAGCTTTGGGCAGTGCACAATCTGCCTAAACTTATGTGTCAGCCCTGGCTCCACACCCACTTTCTCAGTCACACCCTGCCTGCTTGTGCCTCTTAGCTGGTGGCCCAGAGTCAGCCATGCCAGAACCAAGGGGGCTCAGCAGCTCAGAGCAGAATGGCCTCTTGCTGCATTCTGCACTCTTCTGTGGGAAATGGAGTCCAGAGTCTGATAGCTTCTGTAGCAGCTATGCCCCAAGGTTACTGCATAACCACTATCTAACACACCTGGCTTAATCCCTGCCTGTGGCTCCTGATAAACAGGTCATTCAGATCAGGGGCCACAGCCCACACCAATTCCTGTCAGTCCAAGATCCTTGTTAAAGCTGCCCATGTGTCCCAGACAAAGATTCTACTCCACGAAGACTGGGAGTCAGAACCTCAGCTGATCTACCTAATACATAGAAACAAACACAAAGAGGCAGCCAGAACAGGGAGACAAAGAAACAGGCCCCAGATGGAAGAACAAGAGAAATCTCCAGGAAAAAGCTCAATGAAAAGGAGATGAGTAATCTATCAGATACAGAGTTCAAAGCAATGGTTATAAAGATGTAACAGCATAGAAAAGTACATAGAAATCATCATAAAGGACTAAACAGAATTTCAGAATACAATATCTGAAATGATGAATATGCTAGAAGGAATAAACAGTAGGTTGGATGAACTACAAATCAGCGATTCAGAAAACAAGGTAGAAAAACACCTAATCAGAGCAGCAAAAAGAAAGAGGAATTTTAAAAAATAAGGATAATTTAAGAGACCTTTGGGACAACATGAAGCATAACAACATCCACATCATAGGGAAACCAGAAGGAGAAGAGAGACAGCAAGGTATCAAGAACCTCTTTGAAGAAATAATGACCAAAACTTCCCTAATTTGGTGAATGAAAAACACACAGAAGTCCAGGAACCACACAGAGTCCAAAACAAGATGGACACAAAGAGGACCACACCAAGACACATCATAATTAAAATGGCAAAGGTTAAAAACAAAGGGAGAATCTTAAAAGCCACAAAAGAAAGACAGTTACCTACAAGGCGACTCCCATCGGAATATCATTTGATTTCTCAACAAACATTTCAGGACAGAAGGGATTGACATGAAATATTCAAAGTGATTAAAAAATTAATTAAAAAATAAGGACCTACAACCAAGACTACTTTACCCAGCTAGGCTATCATCTTTCATTGTAGGATAAATAGAGCTTCCCAGACAAGAAAAAGCTAAAGGAATTTCTTACCATCAAACCAGTATTAGAAATGTTAAAGGGCCCGTATGAACAAGAGGAAGAGGAAGAGAAAGAGGAGGAAAGGCGAAGCAGGGGGAGGAGAAGAAGGTGGTGGCAGGGAAGCATGGTTAAAAGAATAAAATGGCAATAAATGTGTACCTATTAATAATCATTTTAAATGTAAATGGCTTAAATGCTCCAATCAAAAGACATAGGGTAGCTGAATGGATAAGAAAACAAACCCCATATATGGGCTATCTGCAAGAGACCCACCTCAGAATGAAAGATACACACAGACTAAAAGTAAAGGGATGGAAAAAGATATTTCATGCAACTAAATATAAATGAAAAAAAGCTGGGGTAGCCATATTTATATTCCACAAAATAAACTTTCAAATGAAGTCTATACTACGAGACAAAGAAGCACACTATGTAATGATAAAGGGAACAATCAAACAAGAAGATATAACCCTTGTAAACATTTATGCACCCAACACAGGAGCACCTAAATATGTAAAGCAAATGTTGATGGACATGAAGGGAGAGACTGACAGTATTACAGCCACAGTAGGAAATTTTAACACCCCACTGACATTAATAGATAGATCAACAAGGAAATGGTGGCCTTAAGTGACACATAAGACCAGATAGATTTAATTTATATCTTCAGAGCATTTCACCCCAAAGCAGCAGAACATACATTCTTTTCAAAGGCACATAAACATTCTAGGATAGACTACACATTAGCACACAAAACAAGTCTCAATAAATTTAAGAAAACTGAAATCATATCAAGCATCTTCTCTGACCATAACAGTATGAAACTAGAAATCAATCACATGAAAAAACTGAAAAACACACAAAGACATGTAGCCTAAATAACATGTTACTAGGCAGATTTTCTCTAGAGCGCACACACCCACATTTTTCTTCCCTCTCAGGTGTGCATCTTTACTTTTCTCTCCTAAAGTCTAAGGGTCCCCATGAGACCTGTAACCAGAGGAGCAATGGGCAGTGGAGGTTCATCTGAGGCTAACCCTTTGAATCTGTCTCCAGATTCAGTCCTAGCAAAAAGCCCCTTTTCTCTGACTTTTCAGTCAGTCCACTCAGCTCAGCTGGCCCATTTTTTGTCTGTAATGTTTCCAGAAAGCCAAAACAGAGCACTGCCTACCAGGAGTGTCCAACCTATGGCCCTCAGGCCACTTGCGGCTCAGGAAGGCCATGAATGCGGCCCAATCCAAAATCGTAAATTTACTTAAAAGAAAATAAGGAGCATAGACAGTAAATAGAAAATAGATGGGGGGGGGGGGCAAGAATAGTAGGGGAAATATAGAATCTAAAGAACTTGAGACACATGGTCATAAACTAAAGGGGGGGTAATGGTGGGGATGGGGGTAGGGTGGAGGGGAATGAAGGGGGGGAATAGAACAACTGTAATGGCATAATCAATAAAAAATAAATTAAATAAATAAATAAATAAGATTTTCTTTTGTGATTACATGTCACAATGGATTTTTAATATGCGTGCCTTTCTTCTTCTTCGAGTGTGGCCCAGAGATGCCAAAAGGTTGGACACCCCTGCCCCTAGACTCTCTCTTGGTGCTTCTTCTATTCTAGACTTTTCAGTGAAGTAAAAGCAGCACTGCCATGGCTCACTTCTTTCACTTTGACTTTTACTTCTTGGTGAGGCCATGCAGCCTGGCTTTGGCCCACTTCTCTCCTATAACATTTCTAGAGAGCCAAAGCAGCCCTACCTAGTCACCCTCCTGTTATTTCCTCTACCTTAACCCCTTCCTTGTTTCATTATCCCCCGCTTTAATAAACGTACTCTCGAAATCACCTGAACTCATATTGTGAAATCTTTCCTGCACAAAGTCAAGAACCCACACACTACCAGCCAGCCTGAGGCAAAGCTGCAATGAGCCTGGTCCCTTTCTGGTGACACTATGACAACTGCTAGCAGCCTTTCCCTGTGAGAAGCCCTGAGAAGTTGCATTAGCAAGGGTCCTCTGGCCTACACCCAGCACTGGAAGCCAGCACAACCCCAACCCAGCCAGCTCCAGCCTCCCCTCACCTCAGACCACCAAAGGACTGCTGACCTGCTTCCTGCTTGGGACTGTTTGGAGCACTAGCAGAGAACACTGAAAATTGTCCCTTTTGGTCTGAGAGAAGAGCCTCCAGACTAAGAAATGTGAATGGTTTGCTTTGTCTCTGTGGATGTTGATTATACCAGACTCTTGGGGAAGAAAGGGAAGTATGTTTTTTATGATTGAATGGATTTTTACATGAATCAAAAAGTTGCATTTAAAAAAATAATGATAAAATAAATAAATAAAATGTTACTAAACAATGAATAGGTTAACAATGAGATCAAGGAAGAAATCAAAATATACCTTGAAAAAAAATGAAAATAGGTACATAACAACCCAAAATCACGGGACACAGCAAAAGCAGTCCTAAAAGGGAAATTCACATCATACAGTCCTATCTCAAAAAAAAAAAAAAACAAGAAAAATCTCAAATAAACGATCTAACATTACACTTAAAGGAACTTGAAAAAGATCAACAAAAACAAAGTCCAAAGTGAGTAGAAGAAAGGAAATAATGAAGATTGGAACAGAAATAAATAAAATGGAGTCTAAAAAAATACAAAAGATCAATGAAACCAAGAGCTGCCTCTTTAAAAAGATAAACGAGATTGACAAACCTTTAACCAGACTCATCATGAAAAAGAGAGAGAGGACCCAATAACTAAAATCAGAAATGAAAGCGGAGAAGTAACAACTGACACCAAAGAAATGCAAAGAAATTGCAAACAACCAATTGGAGAATCTTAACAAAATGGATAAATGCCTAGGAACATACAATTTTCAAAACAGAATCAGGAAGAATCGGAAAACCTGAATAGACCAATTACAACTAGTAAAATTGAAACAGCAATTTAAAAAATCTCTCAACAAACAGAAATCCAGGACTGGATGGCTTCACAGGTGAATTCCACCAAACATTCAAAGAACTAACACCTATTCTTAAAACTACTACCAAACATTTAAGAGAAGGGAAGACTTCCAAACTCTTTTTATGAGACTAGCATTATTCTAATTCCAAAACCAGATAAAGATACTACAAAGAAAGAAAATTATAAGCCAATATCCCTGATGAACATAGATGTTAAAATCCTCAATAAAACATTAGCAAACTGGATCCAGCCATACATTACAAACATCATACATCATGATCAAATGGAATTTATTCTGGAGATACAAGTTGGTACAATATCTGCAAATCAATTAACATGTTACACCAATATATTAAATGAAAGATAAAAATCACATAACGTTGTCAATAGATTCGGAAAAAGCATCTAATAAAAACCCGGTACTCATTTATGATAAGAACTCTTCAGCAAAGTAGGAATAGAGGGAACATACCTCAACATAATAAAGGCCATATATGACAAACACACTGACAACATCATATTCAATGGGCAAAAACTACAAGCATTTCCTAAGATCAGAAACAAGACAGGATGTTCACTTTTACCACTGTAATCCAACATAGCACTGGAAGTCCTAGCAAAAGCACTTGGACAAGAAGAAAAAATCCAATCCAAATTGGAAAGGAAGAAGTAAAACTGTAGTTATTTGCAAATGACATGACACTATATATAGAGAACACTAAAAAAAACTACTAAAACTGATAAATGAATTCTGTGAAGTTGCAGGATACAAAATAAATATCCAGAAATTTTCTGCACTTGTATACATTAATAATGAACTATCAGAAAGAGAAACTAAGAAAACAATCCCATTTACAATTGCATCAAAAATCAAAAAATACCTAGGGATAAATTTAACCAAAGATATAAAAGACTTGTACTCAGAAAATAGGACACTGAAGGAAGAAATTGAAGAAGATACAAATAAGTTGAAGTATGTACTGTGTTCATGGATAGGAAGAATTAACATCATTAAAATATCCCAAAGCAATCTATAGATTCAATGCAATTTCTATAAAGATATCAATGGTGCATTTTACAGAACTAGAACAAATATTCCAAAACTTTACATGGAACCACAAAAGACTCCAAATAGCAACAGCAATCTTTAGAAAAAAGTTGGAGGAATCACATTACCTGATAACAAACTATACTGTAAGGCCATACTAATCAAAACAACATGGTACTGGCATAAAAACAGACGTATAGATCAGTAGAACAGATTAGAGAACCCAGAAATAAACCCACACTATTACAATCAATTAATATTTGACAAAGGAAAAAAATGCAATGGAGTAAAAATAGTCTATTCAATAAATGGTGTTGGGGAAATTGGACAAATACATGCAAAAAATGAAACTAGATCACCTTCTTACACTATACACAAGAAAAAACTCAAAATTTATTAAATACTTAAGTGTCACACTCAAAACCATTAACATCCTAGAAGAAAACATAGATGGTAAAATCTTGGACATTTCTTGTAGCAATATTTTTTCTGATATATCTCCTCAGGCAAGGGAAACAAAAGAAAAAATAAGAAGAATGGGACTACATCAAACTAAAAAGTTTTTGCACAGCAAAGAAAACCATTAACAAAATAAAAAGACAACCCAATGAATGGGAGAATATATTTGCCAATGATACATCTGATAATGGGGTAATACTGAAGAATTATAAAGAACTTACAAAACTCAATACCAAAAAAAAAAAAAAAACCCTCACAATCCAAGTAAAAGGACCTAAACAGACACTTCTCCAAAGAGTACATACAGATGGCCAATATGAAAAGATGTTCAATGTCACTAATCATCAGAGAAATGTAAATTAAAGCCACACCTGTCAGAATGTTGGCAAGGATGTGGAGAAAAGGGAACCCTCAAGCACTGTTGGTAAGAATGTAGATTGGAGCAACTACTGGAAAGCAGTATGAATTACCTCAAAAAATTAAAAATGGAACTTCCTTATGATCCAGTGTTTCCACTTCTGGAAATTTTTCTGAAGAAACCCAAAACACTAATTTGAAAGAATACACATATATGCACCCCTGTGTTCATTGCACTGTAATTTATAATAGCCAAGATTTGGAAGCAGCCCAAGTGTCTATCAGTAGATGAGTGGATAAAAACGCCGTGGTACATTTGTACAATGAAATATTACTCCACAGTGAAAAACAAGGGAAATTTACCGTTTATGACAGCACAGATGGACCTGGAGAATATTATGTTAAGTGAAACAAGCCAGTCATAGAAAGGTCATATGATTTCACTTATATGTGAAATCTAATGAACAAAATGACCTAACAAGCAAAGTGGTGACAGACTCATATAGAGAGAACAGTCTGACACTGTCAGGTCGTGGGTGACAGGGGGAGGAGGTGAAGGGATTGAGAAAAAAAGAAAAACCAAGAGACACAGACAATGGTGTGGATTGCCAGGGGGAGGGGGTGGAAGGAGGTGGAAAACAAATAAGTTGATTATATTAAATTTAAAATAAAATATTTTCCAGCTCTGGGGGGAAAATACATGGCATCGTGGCATTCAATGAATGACTTATATTGCATTGAACTCAACTGAACAGACATTGTCTTCTAGATATTTTTTGGTATCTTATGGTTTCCAATCTCTATGAAGTTTGCATTCCATTTGCTCATCACAGAAAAATATCGGCAAAGTTTCACTCTTCTACAACTGTGGCTTTTAAATTATATTTTAACAAATATGTTGAGTCCTTGAAGCCCACAACTTTAGTAAAATTTAATGATATAGCTAATCAATTAGGGAGAAAGAGAGTATAACTGCAAAACATGAATTATTGAAAAATTATATAAATACATTTTTAAGAAAATTTACAGGAACTCAAAATAAGCCTACAAAATATTTCTTACTAAGATTTCTTATATGTACTGTATTGAATGAATTCATTTTTAAAAGTTTGTAATTCCACATAGGGGTATTGTTTCGACATTTATGTATCTTATGTCTTTAGCTTCTTCACTTCTACTGGCTATTTTGTCTCTGAATTTCAAAATAAACTAGTCCCTCTGATTCAAGCGTAAAACCATTACCCACCACCTTGAATTCTCAACCACATTGGCACTTTCAGGTCTCAACTTACTGGTTCTCTCTGGTACCGAGACCTGCTGACTAGACACCCCGCCCCGGAAACTTTCTTGGCTTCCATAATACTACTTTCTCTAGTCTCCTCCTCCCTCTCCAACTTCTCCTTTTAAATCTGCTCTTCTCTTAAACGTTAATGATTCTCAGAATTCTTTGTGTTTAATCCATCACCCTATTTGATTTGCCTTCTATCTTAACTGATTTAATCAATTCTAATTAATTTCATATATTCCTTATTTTATGGTTACAGCTACAGACGCCTTTCTGAACTTGACCCTGAGCTCCAGATAACACCAGTACCTCCAACACAATATACTCACAACTAAATTTAGCATTTTCCTCATTAAGCCTGTCTCCTCCAGTATCTTCATACTGTATTAATGTTGCCCAAGCCAGAAGCTTGTGACCTCTCACTGCCCTTATCCCAGTGTCCAATCAAGTTGATAAGTCTTACTAATGTCATCCTTCCTACTCTTCTCATTTCTTGTTTCACCCACCTGTAGAATAAAGTCCTAGCTCTGGTGCACACACATATCTCCAGCCTTATCTTTCATCAACCAACCACACTGAGTTCCGTTTCTATGACATGAGTGAGAACACATAAAATACTTAGAAGAGTTCCTGGCATATAATAAGCATTCACTACATGTTAGCTTCCATTACTACCACTACCACGATCACCCCACCCTCCCCCCACCCCTGCTTATTTATTCCCCACACTCACTATGCTATTTCACAGTTTTATGTCTTTGCTGATGCTATTTTCTGTCCCTGAAATTGTTCCTATTTCACGGAAATCAAGAGACATAGTAAAAACTGGCCTGTACTCACTAAAAATGCTAAGGCCACAAAAGACAAAGAAAGTTGGAGGAAGTACTGCAGATTGAAGGGGACTTAAGAGGCGGGCAACTGACTGCAATGCACGGTCTGGGGCCTTCATGCCTGTGAAAGACGCTGGTAAGGCCTTCATGCCTGTGAAAGACGCTGGTAAGGAGGGCAATTAGTGAAATCTGAATAAGCCCAGTAGATTAGCTAATAGCACTGTATCAGTGTTAATCTCCTGATTTTGATCATTATACTGTGTGTGTTTGTGTAACAGGGAGAGGAAAAGATATTTGAAAAGCGGTAAAATTCAGGAAATCTGGATAAAGAGTGAAGAGGGTTATTTGTACTATTCTCACAACTTTTTGTAACTTTAAAATAATGTCAAAACAAAAGGTTTTTAAAAAGAAATAAACTTAGCCATAATGCAGCCAACCTACAGGCAAGTATCCTTTCCTACCTCAAAAATTAGTTAACACATTTATGCCCTGGCTGGTGTAGCTCAGTGGATTGAGCGTGGGCCTGCTAACCGAAGGATCAAGGTTCGATTCCCAGTCAGGGCACACGCCTGGGTTGCAGGCCAGTTCCCAGCAAGGAACCCATGAGAGGCAACCATACATTGATATTTCTCTCTCTCTCTCCTTCCCTTCTCCTCCAAAGATAAATAAAATGTTTTTAAAAATTAGTTACTATATTTTATAAACAGCCATTGCAGGTTCTCCCGCTCATTTCCCTGTGATCTTTGTGCAGATGCGCATCCCACAGGGCCCGGCCCACCCAGCCCCTGCAGAGGCCTCAGGAAGCTGAGGTAAGCAGGAGTCCTTTCCCCCTACCAGCTCCGACCACGCTTTTACCTGTGGAAAACCCGAACAAGAAAACAAGGTAGACAAACATGAAGCGACATAGGTCTCTCAGGATCATCTGCAGGAGAGAGCAAGCTTGTCAGAACAAATCCAGGCCTGGGCGGGACCCGGGGAAGGACCAGGACTATGTCAGCCTAGGGCTTAATGTTGAGCCCAAGTGGAATCAGAGAACATGCAGGGAGGTGTTTTGGCGGTGTGTAGCTTAGGCGTTATGAGGGTGTCATCTACAGCACAACCCCCATGGCCTTTGTTCTGGTGGGAAATGGGGGGGGCCTAGTAAGCAGGGGGTGGGTCAAGTTTTAGGGAAGCCCCCAAACCTGGGTCAAGGCCAGATTGCCTGAAATGGGGGGTAATTAGCGGGGAAAGCGAGCCTTCAGCCAAACCCACATTTCCTCAGGCACTGTAGAGAAGATGGATGAAATCTGTGGGACCAGGTTTCACATACCCATGGGGAAAACAGGCTCCATGGAGAACCCACTTGGGCCCTGGCACCCACCTTCTCGATCATGACGGCATAGATGCCCATCTGCTGGAAGCCGCGGGTATAGTAGAGCATGTTGGTCCAGCCCATGGCCAAGGAGAACACCATGGAGGCCACGTACTCCTTGCATTGGCAGAAGTACAGCACCACAGTCCCCAGCATGAACAGTGACTGCACAAAGCTGAGGGTGGAGTGACAGGAAGCCCTGTCTAAGGGCACCGAGGAGGCCTGGCACCCCCACAGACAGGAACGCCCCCACTGCCTGGGCCTCTCCACAGAGGAACATGCCACAGGCCACGGTGGAAGTGCGGGAGGGCTGGCTGTCCTGCCCCCTTTAGCCCATGATTCTCTGTGGGAGTGATATTGCCCCCATGGGGGCAAATGTTGGTTTGAGGTAGGGGGAATGTGAAATCTTATGCTCTTTATACATAAGGCACAGATATAAATACAGTACATATTCAGCTGTACAGTACATTTGTGGTATTACAATTATATGGGAAAGGCAATTGGAAAAAATGATCTAAAAAGACAATAATAAAAAGACAATAATAGCCCTGGCCAGTGTGGCTCAGCTGGTTGGGTGTTTCTCTTTCATGTCAATGTTTCTCTTCCTCTCTTTCTCCCTCCCTTCCCCTCTCTCAAGTCACTAAGCATGTCCTTGGGTGAGGAATAAATAAATAAACACATAAATACATAAAATAAAAAGGCAAAAGTAAAAATGGCTGAGAAAAACTGCTTTAGCCCCAGCCACCTTCCTGCTCAGTCCCCAGAAAAACAGCCTCATGGACAACAGAGGTCTAGGAGGTCCCTCGGCTCATGAGGAGTGAGAGGCCTGCACTCCAGGGAAGCCGCAGGTAGAGTCCGATGGTCACATCCTCAAACTCAGGAGGAGAGTCAGGGAAAATGTCCCTTGGCCCCTTAGTGCAGTGGGGGCTACCCCAGTCAGAGCCCTGGACAGGGTGGAGGACATCTGAAGGATCCTATGACAGGGTCTGCCCAGTGGTCTTTCTTTACTTATTAGTCCCAGGCTTCCTTGCTCATCACAATCTCCTCCTGAGAGTCCCCCCGTCTGCATTAACACTGTAGACCAGTGACCAGTGACCACCTTACCTCCGGTTTGTGTGAGAGAACCCAGCAAGAAGCTGGCACTGTGCTGATTTGAGTCTATCAAAAACTGATGTCAATAAACCGGCTCATCAATTCAAGTTCTGCTGGAAAGAAAAACTTCTGCACTAGCAGAATCTGGCCAAAGTAAGAACTGATGCCAGTTGAAATGGGGAAAGGGTTGCCTTGGGTGGCAAATGAGTTCCCGCATATGAATCTTGGAAGCTGGGAAGCAGTGGACAAAGGGAACTCACTTAGAAGACCACAGAACGCCCAACCTAAGTCTCAGCAGGGATAGCTGAGAACCACTTCTTTTAATCAAGGAGCCTTGAAAGGCTTAGGGACCTCTGGAGGGGAGGTGACAAGGGACTCAAAATAAGGAAGAGAGGAGATTTTGTCTCTGAAGAGGATAAAACAGGGGATTTTTGGACCCAGTTTTGTAAGTTACTAGCAAAAGCATTGATATTTTACTAAAAACAGGAGATTGTGCTATTTATACAATACAGTTTACAGAAAATCCTCTTTTCCACCTGGCTCTCCAAAAGTCAGCAGCCAGACTTCTTCCCTCCAGGTCAAAGATTGAAAAGATGCAATAGGCTGACATCGGATATTCTCCAGTAAATGGTTTATCTAGACCAGCCTGGAGTAATCAAAATTGATAAGCCCCATTTACACATTAAGAGCTACCAACCAGCTTTCCAGTCCTTAACTCTCAATCAAGAGCAGGCAGCAAAAATCCCCAGATACCCTGAGGATAGTCTTAGAGAGACAAAAGAAGATAATGCACCCATGAAATAAGAACAGAGTGCTATAAATAAGGAACAAACAGAATTTTTTAGAAGAGCATTTGGAAATGAAAAAATAATATTAGATCCAATAGAAGTGCTGGAAATTAAGGTTAATTTGAACTTTCCCGTAAGAAGAGCCAAAGATAAAGAGATAAAACACAAGTAGGAAAAATACAAGAACTAGTTCAGGACTAGGTAAGGAGGCCTTTGTATATTATTGGAGTTCCAGAAGAGAGATCAAGAAATAATTCACAAAAGTATTCCAAAAAATAAAGGACATAAATTTCCAGACTGAAAGAGCCTACTAAGTGCCCAGAACTTTGGATTAAAAAAAAGATCTAAATTATGATGCAACACTAGGGGAAAAAAGAGGATATTATAGATTTACAAAGAGAAAAACCATAACAGGTCTTCAAGGATCTGGAATCTGACTGTCTTTGGACTTGTCATCTATAATACTGGAAACATGGAAACAATGGGGAAGTATGTTCAAATTTTTAAAAGAACTTTATACCCAAGTTATCAGTCAAATGTGAAAATATAGTACAAATATATTCAGATGTGCCAGATTTAAAAGAAATTGTTATCAATACTTCCTGAATCCCCACTATGTGGCTTATTTCATCAGTTGAGGATGCCCTCCCCCAAAATATGGATATAAGTCAGGAAACAGGGAGACATAGGGTTCAAAAAGCAAGAAATACAACTCAGCATAGAAGCAAGAAGGACCTCCAAGGTGCTAGTGAAGAAGAGATGACCTCTTAGAAGTACACGTGGGAGCAACGCAACTCAGAACCCAGGCATGGAAAGGGGTGGTGGGGAAAAAAAAAAAGAACTCAGGCATGGTGACAGCTGTCGTCTCTGTACTCTCTACCGTCACACCACCTCTTTCACCAGGGGAAATGCTGAAGGGTGTCCTCAGATAAAACAAGGAAAAAGCCAAGAAAGAGACAAGAACTCTAATGCAAGAGGAAAGCAATGAGAATCCTAAGGCTGGCAGCAAAGAGAAGTCCTGGGATGCCAGCTAAGCGGCCGGCCCAGAGGACAGCCAGCCCGTTTAGAAAGAGTGGACAGAACTCCAGGCAGAATTCTTCAAGAAAAAAATGGAGAATCTGACCGTATAATTTACGTCACTGATTTTGAGAAAAATTGTACTGAGAGGCTTCGAGATGTGTGAGGAAAAAGTAACAATGGGCACAAGGAAAACATGGTAATTATTAACTTTAGGAGAAACGGAAAGAAAAGAAATATTATAGTATATTTTGAAGCTCCACTGCATATAATATTTACAGAGACATAAGAATATGAATACTGAGTACTGATTGAAGCAAAAATTACTACAAGCCACATTGGATGGCTAGTGGAGGGAAAGGAGAAGGGAAGGCAGAGTAAGGATGCTATGTCCTCATCTACCAGATGCACATGTCAAACAAAGAGCTACAAGAATGGGACCTCGCTGTTCCTGAGGGGGTGAGATTGCCAGGAGTGGGAATGTTGAAACGGGGAATTCAGATAGTGGCTGTCAGCTTTTTAGAACTCTTTAAATCTCTACCTATATGAATGAGTAGGTTTGGGAAATTAAAATTTAAAAATGATTGATATGTCCACAGTGGGTCTTTCTAGGACCAAAATCAAGTTTATTGGTATAATGCCATGTAGGAGAGCATTGTGCCTCTTAGTAAAGCAAATCAGCATTGTGCTAACCTATAGACCCTGCCCTTGAATTTGCCCTTTGGGACTAAAGTGTAACTATCTCAAGATTATAGTAAAAGGGTGGGGTTTTTGCATCCTAGGGACAAGCGAGCTACAATAGGGTGAGAAATCAACTCCCTGCACTTGCCAGGGATAAAGAGAGAAGGCCCAGAGGTGAGGAAAACCGGGGTCTCAGAAGAGGGCTTGAGCTGAGATCCTAGGAGAAGGACCCTTTGCCAACTGAAAGCCCCCTCTGTATTTTGGGCCCTTCGAGGGAACCTCGTAAGGCTCTGGCTTATTTATGAAGAATAGTGGTTCCCTGTGACATGTACATTGTTTTTATAACTGGTTTATTAATCTGTCTCCCCCTAAAGCAGTAATTCTCAATCAGGGGCGATGTACCCCACCCCCCAGCCAAGTGGGGACATTTGGCAGTATCTGGAGACAGTTCTGATTGTCAGGATTATGGGACAGGGAGAGAGCTACTAGCGTCTAGTGAGGAGAGGCCAGGAATACTGCTGAACATTCTACAGTGCACGGGACAGCCCCCAAAACAAAGACTCATCCGGTCCAAAATGTCCATACTGCCAACCAACATTCAGAAACTCTGCCCTGAAGATTGGAAGTTCCATGAAGGCAGAAGCCATGTCTACTGTATCTTGAGATTCCAGGGCTAACTTGGTAAATGCCAGACAGATGGACAAAAGGATGGGAAAAAATGAATAAGGGTACATCTGACTCAGACCACAAGAGCCCATGGGACTTGTCTAGCATTCCCCAGCACCTGGTTCATACCTGGCATAGTGTGGACCCTGGGTATTCACTCACCCACCAAACATTTACTCAGCGCCTTCCATCATTCACTCAACATGGTGTGCAGTCCTCCTATGTCCCAGGCTGAGTGTATGTGAGAGAATGAGTGAGATCTGATTGCTGTAACCTCAGGACTGGGCCAGAGGACGTTGTCTGCTACTGAGGCACTAGAGCCGAAGGGTCACTTACAAAAGTATCTCACTGTAGCTGTCCACAAACAAGGATTTCAGTGATGGCCGCCTCTGCAGGAAATACTGAATCTGCAGGTAAACAAAGTAAGATTCCAGGAAAGGTTAGATGTGGCTAGGCGCTGAGCACCCAGAATGGCACCATGGGAAATGAGTCAAAGCAGAGATCACGAAGGGAGTGGAAGGCTAATGGGGTAATGTTACATGACATTCAGGAGTTATTTTTAAGGATAGAGAGTGCAATGACAACTATACCTGGAAGTAAAGACAGGAAGGAAAATCACCAAATGTTATTAATTGTTATGCTTGAATAATGAGATTGGGTGGGTTTTTTTTCCTTTCTAATCTGTGCTTTTTTTCCCTAATTTCTTTAAGTACACATTACCGCAAAAAAATCTTTAATCAGCTTCCATTGAACTAACTCACCAGATTAACCAGCACTTCCCTTTCCTTGACAACATTCTGAGGGACGTCCATGCCCTGCTGATCACTGGGGCTGGCAGACCCTCCACAGGACACTCCTCCTGCTGGCCCTGTGTTTGCCAAGAGTGCTTTTTTGTTGTTGTTGCACTTACTACTCTGGCTTTGTCCTTTATTATAATATAAACTATAAGTGTGAAAATAAAGATCGTTGTTTCCATGAAGACAGAGTCCAAGAATTTGAATAAACTCCTTAAAAGTAAGTCACTTAAAAAAATTGGATGTAGCTTAGATCAAAGAGGAAAGAGTTACAATAATACCAAATTATTTGTACATGTAACAGTGGTCCCACATTCAAAAAATAAACTGTCCATCTATTAGAAGAATGGCAAGGAATATGCATCTATGAGTTTTCAGTTAAAATAAAATGGTTCCAGTATATGGGTAGATTTCTACTTCTGTAATTAAATGTTACATTGAGTGGAGATCCCTGTCTTCAAGAATGACTGCCTACAGGGACCCACTGAGCAGATGCCCACCCTCCAACTGGTACATGCATCTCTCAGCTCCTCAAGCAAGGCATTCCCTGCACAACAAATAAGTAAGTGAGTGAGTACTGAGTGATTCTCCTGGCTTTTTGTTTTGATGACAATGGAAATTCACAGTATGGAAAAGAATGCTTACCCCTCGGAAAAAAAAGTAGATTCCCCCTAATACAGAAAGAATCTCTCCAATGACTCGGAAATAGTCGCCAACAGTGTGTTTCACCTTATAGGGAGGCTGCAAGGTGCAGAGAAGTTAGTGGCTTCATTCATTCATTCATTCATTCACTCATTCAACAAAGATTTATCAGGTGCCAAGCCCTGTGATTAAGACCGAGCACTGTCCTGGCTGGTGTAGCTCAGTGGATTGAGCACAGGCTATGAACCAAAGGGCTGCCAATTTGATTCCCAATCGGGGTACATGCTTGGGTTGTAGGACAAGTCCCCAGTGGGGGCCAAGTGAGAGGCAACCGCACATTGATGTTTCTCTCCCTCTCCTTCTTCTGCCCTTCCCCTCTCTCTAAAAATAAATAAATATCTTTATCATAAAAAAAAAAAAGAAAGAAAAGAAAAAGACCCAGCCACTGGCTGAGAGGCTCAGGCTCAGGAGAGAGACACAAAAAAAGACAATGCACTATTATGGACAACTGAAAGGGCGCTCCTCTGTGGGACCTGACTCCCAAAGTGGGAGCCTCCAGGTGCCAAGCAGAGCACCCTTGCAGTGTTGCACTATCTCTCGGACAAGCCTCAGCCCCAGCCCAGAGTTCCATGGGAAGGAGGGCGATGGCACTGGTAGAGGCTCTCTTCCTGACCCAATGCCACCGTGCTGCCTGCTGCTCCCAGTACTTACGGTGAACCCCTGGTCTCCCAGCACTGTCAAGGGTGCCCATGGATGGTGAGGGGAGAGAAGCCCCACACCTCTTTGTCGGACACCGTTTCCTGATGTGGGTCTCCTCTTAGCCCATTGCCGATGTTTCATAAATACTAGTTCACTAGACTATCTTACTAGCACATTTCTCTTTTCTCTTAAAACAAAGTCATTAAATGGCCTCAATAGGTAGATAGAGATCAAGTTTTACACTACTAGGAAGTTGAGTGTTTAAATCAAATTTACAAGCAAGGCGCCCTGGAAATAAAAGCAACAAAATTAAATGTGTGGTTATTGAATGGAAAGGACTTAATTCAGAAACTCAAGGGAGCCTGTGTTTCCTGAAAGAGGCAAAATCTGTTCTTAAGCTGATTTAATGGATGTCCCAGGGCCTGGCTCAGAAGAGGTGCTCAAAAGTCTATGTCTAGAGGGAGAACGATGAGCGAGCAAGTGAACAGAAGTGGGCAGGTAAACAGGATGGCAGTGGGCTTAGGGCTTACGTCACCCCGTGCCCCTGTGGACACCCAGCCTAGGGGAGAGCTGCTTCCTGAGCCCTAATTCCTGCATCCTTTCTAACCTAGTACTCACCCTCTGCAAGCAGGGGTGTCTGCCTCACAGAACCAGGAGGCTAAGGGAGCAGCTGAGAACAGGAGACAGGGCAGGTTTCCAGGACAGGGAAGGAGTTCAGGGCCCAGCCAGGCCTGGGGTCTTGGGGGTCTTATAGGAATGCCATCCCCTCTCCCCCCACTCCACACCAAGGCCCCAGCCTCAGGCCGCACCAAGCCTTCCACAGGCCTGTAGTAGGCGACCGTGGTGAAGATGATCATATACAAGCAGTAGACGAAGAAATTGAAGTAGAAGATGCGTTTGACGAATCTGTCCCACTTGTCCTGCAGGAGGCGGTTCAGCGGCTCCACCAAGAGCATGTCATGGCGATTCTAAGGGGAGCAAAGAGAGGTGAGGCTCACTCACCTGCCAGCAGCCCCCTTGACGTTTCATCAGCCTGAGGTGCTCCTCTCACCCACACCTCTGCACAGGACCGGCCATGACCACATCCTCAGCCCACAGAGCCACTGAGGGTCACAAATCTGAATGAGCAGATCCACCCCCAGGGCTCGGTGCTCCTGTGTGCACAGTGAATGGGGTGAAATTGGGCAAGTGCCCTTGACTCTTAAGAACTAATAAGTGTTACCCAGCATTCTGTGTCCATTACCTCCAACAACTCATTCCAGAGCACCTACCTCCTTATTATTCCCACAATAATGGGTAGAGGCTGGCACAGGCAGAGTCTCACATGAGGCTGCTGTGGGAAGGGCTGAGGGCAGGTAGGAAGAGGCCTCTGGGTTCCTTATTTCTCACATTTCCAGCCCTGGGTCAGGCAGGCCATCCAGGCAGCAGTGGTAACTACCGATGGGAGACTGGCGACTAGAAAGCCTTTCCCATGGTGGGTGCCTGGGAAACTATAGCTACAAGCATGCTTTGGGGCAAAAGGCTGGTATCCAGGAGATCTATGGTAAGGTTCAAGTATCCCAACAAGATCCCTGTTCAGTGTCCTCTTGAATACTTTCGGGGATGGAAAGCTCCCCACTGCCTCAAAAAATCTGTGGAGAAACACTAACTGTCGGGCAGATCTATCCTCTGGAATAAAGTCTGTCCCCTCTGCTTCTCACCAGTGGTTCCAGCTCTGCACACGGGGGCCCCAGTACTGCAGTCCTGGCCCCTGAGAGCCTCCGGAGACAGAAGGTGACAGCTGTGGCGCCAGATCCCTCCCTTCCCTGAGTCGAACACCCCAGTCCTTCTGAGTCCATTTGCTACCAGGCCAGTCCTCCAGATTCCACATGGAGCCTGGGTAGGTGCGGACAGATCAGAGCACTGCAGGCCAGGCCTCCCCGGCCCCTGAACTCTACTCAGTAACCTCAGCCTCTCTTCCCTGCGAGACGTGGTGGCAGCCCCTCATCACCAACAGCACAGGCTCTGGCCCCAGGGTCAGCTTCAGAGGCTCAGCACATCACCTTAGAGAGGACGGGCAGGGAAGGTGGCCTTTTCAAAACCGTGCTGGAGGGCAGGCCTTTCGTTTAGTGGCATCGGGACCCTCATTTGCAAACCAAGTAATTAAGTGAGATGCCCACCTCCCACATACACAAACATAAATTCCAGATAAATTAAGGAGGCAAACATAAAATACATACAAAGGAGGTAAAAGAAAAGATGGGAGGATATGTGTATAATCTTGAAGTAGGAGAAGACTCCCGAAGCAAGGCACAAGTCACAGAAACTATAAAAGAAAAAGATCGGGGTGGTGAACACATGATACAATACACAGATGATGTCTTATATAATTATACCCCTGAAATCTATGTAAGTTTATAGCCAATGTCACCCCAATAAATTTATTTAAAAGTTTAAAAAAAAAAAGGTTAACCAATTGACTCTGTCAGAAAGAAAGCCTTTTATAAACAAATGATGCCTTGAACAAAGTTAAAAGATAAGAGACAGACTAGGAGAAAATAAAATATTTGTAACATGCAACAAAGAAAGGATCAGTTCATCCTATAACAAGAACACCTACGGACCAAAAGGGGCCAACAGTTCAGTAGAAGAGAGAGCAAAGGACAACAAACAGGAAATCTACCAAAGAAACACGAATGGTCAACAAACATGGAAAAATGACCAACCCCGCAGTGATCAACACGATGGGAACTAAGACATCAATGAGATAAGGGAGGAAGAAAAGGTGGTGGAAGGAGACTGACGTGGGGCGGTGAACACGCAGTACGATGTACAGATGATGTGTTATAGAACTGTACACCTGAACCTATATAACTTTATTAAGCAGTGTCACCCCAATAAATTCAATTAAAAAAGACATCAGTGAGATAGCATTTTTGTCTCCTTGCACTTAAACAGTTTTTTAAAAAATAAAAAGATTGGTAATACCCAGGTGCTCGGCCAATATAGGGCAGACCTGAAGTTTTTTGGAGAATAATTCGGCTACTATTAAAATATAAATTTTGCAAATTCCCCACTTCTGGCCTATGTACTCACATAAAACTGTCTACAGGACACAACGTTAAGTGAAAAAACTGGCTTTTCTATGCGATGTGTAGTATGGTCCCATCTGTGTAAATGAAATGAAGCTACATGTTTTTGTATGGATAAAAGAAGGATTCCTTTTGCCTATGTACTTCTGATTTAAGTTTTAAGGGGGATATGATTGTATATGGTTTGTGTGATGAAGGAAACCACTCAGGGCAAATGAACAGGTTGATGAGGCTGCAGGACCTGGGCGCCAGGCAGCAGGTTTTTCATCGATGAGAACACAACAGGGCTGGACCAGGGTGGGGTAGGGGCTGGGGTGTGGCAAGATTGAAAGCCCTCCCTGGGTCCCAGCCCCGGCCCACTCACCGGGGTCTCATTGCTGCTGTAGGCAATGACCTCCAGCACCGAGTTCTTCTCACAGGTGTCAATGCAGGACAGGTCATAGAGCGAGGAGTGCACGGGCCCGTAGGCCCACTCGGTGAACTTCCTCGACAGGTGCCTACACTCGGGCTCATGGATCTCCCTCTGCAGAATATAGGCCAAGACCTGCCACGGGAATACAAGAGCCTGTGGGAGACCAGCCTGGTGCCCTGCCGCAGGTTGTATCCCCACTGGGCCATCAGCTCTGCTTCGGGAATAATTCTGCTTCCCAGCACAGCTGGAGATCCCGCCCAAGCACCTGTCTCCATCCTGCAGCCTTCTGACTGCCATCAAGATCAACCTGCTGCTGCCTCAGATCCTGACTGCAGCCACATCTGACCCATCACATGATCACACCTGGCCGATCACATTCATATTACCCTCAGCTCCACCCACCCCCATGGCCAGGCCTCAGCACCCCACCCACTCTCCGTGTCTTGTTGGGGATGCTCAGATTTAGAAATGAGAAATAGCCACAGGTGGATACAGTGCAATATACAGATGATATATTATAGAACTGTACACCTGAAACTTGTATAAGTTTATTAACCAATATCACCCCAATAATTTCAATAAAAATAAAGTTGACAAAAGCCAATGAAAAAGCATCTCATGATCATTTAATTAGGTTAAATGCTTAGGTTTGCTTCCCAGAAATTGAGACAGCAAGTGGACAAAGAATTTTTTTACAAAACCATTTGCTGTGATAGAAAGCAAATTAGCAGCTGTCTAGAGTGGGGGACGGCAGAGGGCAGGAAGACTGGCTGCAAAGGGCAAGAGAACGGCTGGGGCAACAACATGGTCTGCAGGTTGACTGGGGTGGTGGTTATAGCTGTGTGCATTTATCAGAACTCATCAAACCGAATACTTTGTTTCCATTTGTTTTATGTAAATTACACCTCAATAAAGTTGATTTGAAACCATAAAAAATAGAAAGAGAGAAAGAAAAGGCCACATGTGCAACGCTAGATTCTGCACGGCTCTCACAATCCCTCTGGCTTTACCGTAATGGCCCGGCCCACCCTGACAGGCTGCCGTGACAGCATCAGGACTCACAGGGCGGTGATGTCAGGCATGCTCAGTGAGGTAGGCAGTCCCCTCCCACAGCACCCACAGCACCCCCAGCTCAGCACACGAAGCCCTCTCCCTACCCCAATCTTCCCACTGCTGGCGGCCAGGGCCAGTGGAGTCAGCCCCTTCTTGTTGATGAGCTCCTCCAGCTTCAGCGTAGGGTGCAGCTTGGCTCCCAGGATCAGAATCTCATTGTACATGCTCGTCACAAACTTGGTATTGTCGGCTGTGTTGTCTGCCACTTCCACCAGTGCGTGCAGCACTGTGTTGCCTACAGAGTCCCTGGCACTGATATCTGCCGGCTGCCAGGAGTTCTGCAGCAGGAACTTCACGATGCCCAGCTGGTTGGTACACGCGGCCAGGGAGAGGGGCAGCTCACCTGCAGCCAACACAGGCACAGAGTGGGCCCCAGGAACCGGCAGCTGGGGCCCTGGAACACCCCGCCTGCAACTCCCTCTGACCCCACCCCAAACCTCCGCTCAGCAATCATCAATAAGTCAAGTGTCCTCCACAGAGTCTCCTTACCAAAGTAGAAGCCGGGCCGCCCTTTGGTTTTCTTAAAGAAGTCCCCATTGGCCGCAGCCTGGACGTCTGCCCCATTCTCCACCAGGAGGGTCACCAGTGCCATGTTCCGCCTCTCGATGGCAATGTGCAGCGCTGTCTGGCCTACGGAGGATGCGTGCTGTTGGCTTTGGGCTCGTGTCCTGAAGCGGTGCCCTAACAGGTGCTGGGGGACAGCCTGGGCAGAACATGGCAGATGACTCCCCCAGGAGAGGAAGAAGCCAGGCCAAGATCCACAAAGGGGGCCCCGGGGGGCCCTGAGGCAGGACTAGAGACCCCCCAGGAGCAGGGGTCACCAGTCTAGAAGCTACAGGAGTCAAAATTGTCCAAGGGCAAAGAACAGCAGCAGAGAGGGAGGCCAACAGTTCCAAAGGCCAGGAACACCAGGCCCACAGAGGGGAGAATGGGACCCTTAGCCCAGGAGAATCCAAGCCAGCGGGTTGGGGAGGCAGGGATCCCAGGACCAGGAAATGCCAACCTGGTGACTGGGACAAGGAGTAAGTTGCTCAGAGGTTTGCCCAGGCTGCCTGCGCCCTCCCGGCTCCACGTGTGGCAGGGCTGCGCCACCCCGCCCCTCCTCACCCTTATAGTAGCTGTCTGTGTAGCTGGCATTAACAAGCTCCTTCAGGCTGTCGGTCTGCCGGGCAATCTCCAGGAGCAGGGGGATGGTGTTGTTCTGCCCATTGTGCAGGTTGAGCATGGCTTTCAGCAAACAGGTCTTCCCTGTCTCTGGGTCTGCAAGACACAATGAGGGTCAGGGCCAGGAGTGGCAACTGGCGTCGTACCCAGAACCCGGCCCTCTCCACAGCCACCTTTGAACTCGCTGTCCATAAGGTGCTTCTTGCTCTTCTGCAGGAAGAGCAGCAGGCTCTCTAGCTCCTCACAGTTATTCTGAGCGACAGCTTCAAAGATCTTCCTGCGGTCATAGAGCTTGAGACTTTTCTTGGTGCCAGCAGGGACCGAGTCCTGGCATAGCTGCCTGTGGGACAGAAAACACCCTTGTCTCATACTCCGGTCTCCCCGGGCCATCTCAGTGACTGTCCAGGAAGTGTAAGTTACAGGGAACAGGGGGTGCACAGGCCCCATTCTGCTTCCACCCTGTCTGGAGGTGCCATCTAGAAAGTCTCTGCCCTCGCTGCTTCCTCCAACTCCCAGGCCACTCGCCTCTCTGTCTGCTTAGGAGCTGAGCTGCTCAGAAGGCCGTAGCCTAGGAAGGCTGGAGACAGGGGTTTGGCTTGCCCCAGCTAAGTCAAAAATTGTCCTCACACTGCCCCAGACGTCAGCCAGCCCACGCATCCTCTCTCTCTCTCTTGCCTTGGAGGAGGCAGGAGGGCTGGTGGGCTTTTCACTGGAGCTGTTTTGTGCTCTCTGTCTAAAAGCATCAGCCCTTGAGCATTTTGACTGAAAATCTAAGTGTTTGGGCCTGGTAAACATTCTAGGCCTAGACACCTGGAGAGCAACCAGTAACTAAGATTAGCCTACATGCCAGCATTGGTTACCACGTGTCCTATAGGACTTGTGAGTGCAGGTGCTGCAATGGACGACCTCTGAAGGCTCCCAGGCTTTCCAGCTCTGTGACCTTCAGCCCGTAAGCCAGAGCACCACGTGGTGTCTCCATGCCTGGGCTTCAGCCTGCTGAGCCAGTTGGGCTCCTGGTGGGGAGGAAACCAGGCTTCAGACGCAGCTTACCAGGTGCAGGTGGGGCCATCCTCAGTCTTCTGGACCATGAGAACAGGACTGACTGTGATGGCCGGGCAGGAGGCTGGCTGACCTTCCTTGTAAGAGCAGTCCAGAGGAGAAGCCTCCTCAGAGTCACCCTTCCCAAAGAGCCGGCTGCGGCTCTTGGCCTTGGGGATGTTGGGCTTGGCTGGAGCTGGCCTGGAGTGAGGGTCGCCATCCAGGGGGTCTGGGAGGGAGTCCTCTTGCGGCAGGTCCTCAGACGCCCCTGAGTCTGAGCTCCCCCGTTTCTTCATGTTTGCCCGAGAGGCAGCCTGTGGGCAGCCACCAAGATCAGGTTAGTCCCCAGCTCGAGAACTGTATGACTCTGCCCTCTAACTGCCCTCCTGGCAAAGGCCCCTATGAAGCAGGACACCCCACAGGTCCAACAGCTGCTACCCCAAACCCCCCAGAATGGAAGCTTTCAGGGATGCTGTGCTTCCCACCCCGGAAAGCCCAGTAGCAGCTTCCAGGGGCATCAGCCTCTGGGAGTGGACGGGCCCCAGCTTGGAGTCAGCAGGCTCTGAGGGGCTTGGATGGATCAGTCCTCCTCTCTGAGCCTCAGTTGCCTCATGTGCAGACTGCGAATGATGCCACTACTCTACAACCCTCCGAGAACAGAATAAGGGACACAGTGGCAGTGACTGTCTCTGGCTGTGACACGGGATAAAGATGGCTCAGCCACAAACAGCCGAGCAGTCTGCACCACAGAACCGGGGCGGCTGGCAGAGGGTGACACCTTCCCATTCCACCTGCACAGGCAACCCTGCGCCCTGCACACCCATCATCAGCCCTGCCCTCACCGACCTTTGCTCTTCTACCTGGTTGCAGCAACCACTGAGTTTGTAGGGGATTTTTTTGCACTTTCTATTATTTTTGTGAAATTATTGCATGTCAAGCATCCTGGCTCTGAACTTTTCTACTTTGAGGGGCCAGTGGGCCCCCCAGGCCTGAACACCTGGAGTGGGCAAGTGCCGGCACATGTGGCTGTAAACTTATGTAGATACTGTTCTTCTCTCCCCTCCTGCTCTTTCCCTCCATCCAGCTGGGCATCCCCGCTCCCTGGCACCTAGGGCTGTCCTGAATCTCCATGGCCTTTACTATTTTAGTGCCTCCACTTAGAGTGTTTTCTCCTCCTTTTCTTGCCCAAACATTATCACCCTCAGATGCCATCTCCTGTGGGGTCCAGGATCCTCCACACCCCCAAATCTCTGCACTGGTTACATCCCCTCCCCCTCCAGAGCAGCCCGGCTCATTGCCATTCATCCCTCATGGCCCTCCAACACGGTCCGCTGTGCAGGCTAGCAACTCTGTCACTGCTTTGTCTCCCCTGTCCTGGGACCTCCTCCTGGGCAGGGGGCTCGCCTGATCCATCTCTTTATGGGGGGAGAAAAAAAGCAAGCTGTGCTGGTCACCCCGGAGGGGATGAGAGGGATCAGATTCAGACCCTTCTAGTTCCCACTTGCATCCGCAGTGAGGGAGAGTCATGTTCCAGCAGAGGCTGGATTCCAGAAAGCAGCCACTGAAGGGATGGGCAGCTTCTCCAGACAGGCATTTTCCAGTAAAATTCCAGGCAGTGAAAAAGCAGAGCACGTGGCTGCGTCATGGCAGTAAATCAGCTCCGTCCTTGCGCCCTGACCCACAGGGAATGAGGCGGTCGTATCACCCTGCGTCCCATGAACGGGGCAGGTGGCTGACTGCTGGCCCATTTCCTCTTCTGCCTGTTCTGCTTTCAGGAAGACCTGAGTCTTTCTCTGATTCACCCATCAGGTGAAAACCCTGAGGCAGGAAGTCTTCCCAGCCACAGGGAGCCCCACTTCCAACCACTCACCCACTCATTCATCAATCACTCAACACGTACATACTGAGTCCTACTGAGTACCCGGCCCTGTGCAGGGGGCACAATAGGACTCAGACCCCATCTGAGACAGAAACCAGGTGCTGGCTGGGGCGTGGGATGGCAGGAGGGGCCGGAGTCCTGAAGAAGGCTGCAGGGAGGAGGTGACAGATGAGCTGGGCCTGCAGGGGAGCAGGTTGGGCTATAACTGGGAGACAGGGTGGGGATCCTGGAGCAGTTGATGAGGAGAAGCCAGTGGGACTGGAGGACAGGCAGCAGGGTCAGAACCAAACGGCTGTTGGCCTTGGCATTCAGTGCCACTAGATGTGGATATTTTTGCATGGGGTAGGGCGCCACAGAAAGCTTCAGAAGGCTGACACCAGGCACTTGTCTGTGCGTCCAGAAGACACCTTTCTGTCGAGGACAGTTCAGAGCACAGGGAGCCTGCCGCTATGAAAGGGCACAGAAGGCTATAGCCAGAGCGAGAGTAACCAACACGTCTCAGCACAGGCCGTGCAATGGCTCGAGTCATTCCAACACTTTACAGGCATTCGCTCCCTTCATTCCCACATCTCTAAGAGGTCAGTATTTTACAGATGGGGAAACTGAGGCACGGAGTGGTTACGTTGCTTCTTCAAGGTCATTTAGTAATAAACAGAACCTGGACTGGATCCCAGGAGGCCTGGCTCCAGAGCTTCTCCAGCCCACTGCCTGCTCTTGGGAAGGTTCTTTCTCAGCCATAAACTCAGCCCCAAACTTCACACCGGAGTGGAGGCGGGCATGGGCAATCAGATAAGGCCCTCCCAGCCCCGGGGACAGGCAGGTGAGGACAAAGCCTTTCCACTCAGAAGCCCCAAACCTGTATCACCCTCTTGCTCAAAAAGTGTCCCAGGAAGCTCAAAACCCAAAATGAAGTATGAATAAGACCCAAGCATCCGCCAGGACTGGCTCGCCCAGGAATGTCTCCCCTTGGATAAGGCTGGTTACAAAATCAAGAAAAAAACTGCTGTCTGAATACTGGCTCTTAAACAACCAACAGAAGAGCACCAATCAGAGCAGGAGTCTCCACCAACCTTTCAGCAGTGTTCTTTTTTAGCAGCTTCACTCTTCTTCTGACCAATCCAAATCTAATGCAACCCAGTTAATAAGGAGCAGCTCATATAGTACCATCATCCAGTCAGTCAACAAACCCTGGATCTATACTGCACACCCTGCACCTGATTCCTTACTAAATACCAAGCTTCTCCAGAGTAGAGAGCAGGATAGGAACTGAAAGGCCACTTGCTGTGGGTGGTGAAGGTGCACAGGGACAGGGACAGGAAGTCTGTCATTGCCCGACCTGGGATGTGTCCTGCATGGGAGCCCCATGGCAACCCGATTGTCACTGTCAAACATCGTACAGGGATGGGTGAATTCCAACAGTGATTTGGGGTGTCTGAAGGAGATGGCTGTTCTGGTTTATACAAGATTCACACTCACCCGACTGAACCAAAGGCCAGTCCCGAGAAAATTATCCTGCCCAGCAAAGACCTAGTTTGGCTTCTGGGTCTTTCTCGACTAGAGAGCCAGAAAGGGCACAGCCCATCCCCTGGGAGCAGACTCCCTTCTTGTCTCCCCAAGCCAAGTGAGACCCGCTAGGGCGTGGCTCTCCCACTCCCCCCTCTACCCGAGCATCCATCTGCCTCCCGCCTCCCTGCAGACCCTGATCATTCTCGTCCTCTTGGCCTACCCGAACCTCTTTTAAAGAGAGGTGGGAAGCTGGGAGCTTCCCAACCTGTGAATGAAGAGCCAGAGGAACTCTGCCCAATACAGAGACAGAGAATGGAGCCTGGACAAGAAGCCAGGACTCCTGCCTCCAGGCCCAGCCCTCCTTCACTCCAGAGAGGGCAACATGCTGAAACCTCCAGCCGCAAACCACCGGCCTCGGCAGCAGCTACAGGTTCTTCGCCCCAGGATGACTCTGGAGCAAATAATGCACATGGTTAACAGCAACCTCCATTATCACTTGCAGCCCAGGGCTGCAATTAGCCAGCTAAGTGCACTACAACTACAGCTTACAAGCACTGCACCACAACCTTCACAACAGCCACTGTTATTACCCCCACTTTTCAGATGAGAAAACTGAGGCACGAGAGGCTAGCTGGACATCCGGAAAGCACAGGGCCCAGCTTCTGACAGCGCACTGTGCCACTCTCAAAGCTAACATCTGTGTTGGCTATCAACGAACAGAAGGGACTCACCAGCTAGACGCAGGCACACCCAGCCCCAGCAGGTACCGGTGAGCTCCAAGGTCGCTGCTGCTTGAAGGGAGAGTTGGGCTGGTGTGGGGAGAAGAGTCGTCCCTGGGCCTCCGGAAGGTCCTCGGTGCCCGCCTGGCCGCGGCTGCTCTGCACTGGCCGGATGGGCTGTGGGCACGCTCTGGCACTCAAGGAAAACGGTTCCAGCAATGGCAGCAGCTGCAGTTGCCGCAGCTCTGATTCCCAGAGGATCCTGAAGCCTTTCCCATCATTTTTGCCCTTTTTCAAAAACCACTTAGCCACCGCCCCACCTCCAAACATGCCAGGGTTATAGTGCACTTAGCCACGCACAGCCCAGAACCAGCCAGAAGTGTGCCCTCAGCTGTCAAAGAAGGAGGGTGCTGCCCAGGCCTCCCAAACCCATCCCTGTTCAGATACAGCATTTCAGGGAAACAGCTCAACACAGGCAGCTTCGCAAGCAGAGAGCCCCCTGGAACTGCTGATTTCAAAATGCAGAAGGCGCGGGAATGGCCAAGTCATCCACCACACAGGCCTGGCCTAGCATTTAGGACCTGGTCTTGAGCACTGCCTTTGCACCAACTTTGTGTAACCTGTAAACCAGCCTCTCTTGGGCCTCTCACTCTGTGTGTGGCCAAAACTGGGGTGGGCATTGAGGTGGGGAGCCTCTGAGTCAGCCAGGTCCCAGCCTTTCTTAACAAGGATTCCTCACGGAATCTCAGAATGAAGAAAATGATGTGTTCATTTTCTCATTTCTCCTAGTACGAACCTAAATGCATAGGAGCAAGGTTAACTCATTACCTGCAATAGGGCATTACTGCCTCCTGGAACCGGCTGAGGAAAGCTGCAAAGTCTTTCTGGGTGTGCATACAGGTGGCAGCCCACAGCACCCGACAGAAGCCCCGTAGAACTCCCGAAGGCCCTGAGTCAGACATAGCCCGCACTGAGCAGCATGTGCCAGAACGGCCCCCTGCAGCCCTGCCTGAAGTAGCTCACAAGCCCTGACCCTGGAGGCAGGCACTAAAGCACAGATACCACGTGGATTCTGCAGGACATTTTACAGGTCTCAAGGAGCTTTCCAAACCCACTCTCCCAGGCCACGCAACACCCCTGGGCAGTGAGAAGGCAGAGACCGCCGTACCCATTCCACAGGTGAGAAATCCAG